GGGCAGCTCTCCCCCCCTCCCTATGCCCGTGCCTGCATTCCCGCTATTCCCAAAGCACAGGGAACGGGATGAGCAGGGTGGATCCTTCCTCGGGATCTGAGCTCATCCCCTGAGTGGGATTCCCCAGAAATCCACGGGAACGATGCAGATCTGGGAATCAAACCCTAATTCCCACGGATCCAAGAAGAAGGGTGGGAATTGTCCAGCCTTCCCTCTCTCTGAGTGTTTGGGAAAAGGATTTCCTGGAAAAAATCCACCTGGCTGGACTGGATTTGAAGCTCATGCCACCAAAGAATCGCTCCAGGCCCTGTAATTCCCATTTTTCCAGGAGGAAATGGGGGAATTAATCATTCCCTGGCTGTTGGATCTGGCCAGGGAGGACTTTGGATCTAAGGAACCTGAGGAGTGAGTTTGGATTTTTGTGGATAAAAGGGATCCAAAATTTCTCAGTCTTGGAGTCAGGGGCAGATATCCCAGAAGAGCTTCTGGTGCCAGGGTTAAACTGGGAAAAATTCCCTTTGTTGCCAGGGTTAAAGTGGGAAAATTCCCAGTCTTGTGCAAGGGTTAAACTGAAAAAAATTCCAGTTTTATGCCAGGGTTAAACTGGGAAAATTCCCAGTATTATGCCAGGGTTAAACTGGGAAAATTCCCAGTATTATGCCAGGGTTAAACTGGGAAAATTCCCAGTTTAATGCCGGGGTTAAACCGGGAAAATTGCCAGTTTTATACCAGGGTTAAACTAGGAAAATTGCCAGTTTTATACCAGGGTTAAACTGGGGAAATTCCAAGTTTCATGCCAGGGTTAAACTGGGAAAATTCCCAGTCTTGTGCAAGGGTTAAACTGGGAAAATTTCCCAGTTTTATGCCAGGGTTAAATTCCCTGGCATAAAAAAATTCCTTTCTTGTGCAAGGGTTAAATAGGGAAAATTCCCAGTTTTATGCCAGGGTTAAGCTGGGAAAATTCCCAGTTTTATGCCAGGGTTAAACTGGGGAAATTCCCAGTTTTATGCCAGGGTTAAACTGGAAAAATTCCCAGTCTTGTGCAAGGGTTAAACTGGGAATCATTTCCTTGTGCAGCTCCAGCAGTTCAGCGTTATCTCCCTTTGATCCCTTCAGTTTGGGGGAGGAATAAAAAAAAATGTAGATATGGAAATAATAGAGGAAGTTTAAAGAAATAAATTAAATAAATGAATAAAATAAATAGCACTAAAATAAATTTATGAATTAAATGAATAATGATTAAATTTGAAATAACTTCTAAATAAACACATTTGAAATAACTAAATTAATTCATTATAAATAAATAAATAAATAAATAAATAAATAAATAAATATCTCTAAATAATGAAATATCTCTAAATTACAAAATATGTAGAAAACCAAACAGGATCAGAGGCATCCCTGGATCAATCCCTGGACACAGAGGGGACACCAAAAACCTGGATGTGGCCATTCCCAAACCATCTCTGATCCCAGTTTATTCCCATCCCCTCCTGGCACTGGAATCTCTGGACAAGGCCCCTATAAAATCCTCATTTTTAATGAGAACTTTAGAAATTCGATTTTCCCTTCTTCCCCCTCTCTCCAGGGAAACATCCACCACGGAGCCCCTGGAATGCTGCAGGGGAGTTTTTCCCCCTTTTCCCAAGGCCTGTGGATCCCTGTGTCCCTAAACCCACACAGATCCTGGGAATCCCTGGGAAGGATTTCCCCAGTCCCAGGCCTCCCTCAGTGGGAAAAGCAGCCAGATCCCACAAAATCCCCAGCACCGGTGGGAATAGCTGCCCCAAAATTCCCAAATTCCCCTCAGCCTTCCCCGCTCTCCCTAATGAATAACTTTGGAATCGCTGCTGGAAAAGCAGATTTGGGATCCAGCTGGAATGGGAATGGGGTGGGAGGAGTGTGGGGGAGAACTGCTCGGAAATCCCTCAGCACCCTCCAGGCCAATCCCGC